TAGTGGGAAGAAGATTCTACAAAATTTAATATTGAAAACAAGGCTTTATGCTGAACGATATTGAAAGAGATTTGCAGTCGACGTATTTCACTAGCAGTAGCGATTCTGTCCCTGCTGCACATAGGTAATTATGATAGTTCAATATGGCCGGATTGGCAAGGTTCGAAGAGTAGACACGTACACAAAAACAAATCAAGAAGTCAGCGAAATAATTGAAGCTTAAAAGTGTCTTTTAATTTAAGATATAGGCAGATTTTTCCAAATCCCTAGAAAAAATCCCTACAGGAAGCTGATCCGTACTTAAGTTCGACGGATCGCCTTTTCGTAGAGGGTCATTGGAGCATGGGATGGACTCTCTGATGCTGTGGTTCTCTCCGAAACAGCTGAGTTCTCTAAGTAAAGACTATACGCTCATCATCTGAGAATTAACTATACATATAATTACGATTGCGTTAGTGGCAGCAGATTGTTCAATCTTATCGTTGATTTTAAATTTCCAGAATCATTGATGTAATGACCAATTCATTTTTTGCTTGTGGACATGAATAGGGAGCTGAAGGGCAAAGCCTTATTCCCTTAACAAATTAATGATACTGGCTTCAACGAACTTAATTGCTTTAATGAGCCAAGCCCTCACATTTCCATTATGTAGCAGAGAAAAATCTCAAAAAAATGCGAGCATGGGCTCTAATTAGCGCATGTGATGTCAATACGGTAAATCCTTTAAAGCCCTGACCCACAGCGCCAACACCGATCTCCTCTCATTGCGTTCTTGCGGTCGACGGTAATCCCATGCACATGATCATTTCCGTCGGCAGACCTGTCGTAACTAGTAATGTTCTCACGAACTAACGAGTTATATCTCACGGGCCCCTAGCCTTAAAGTCAGCAAGTGAAACGGAGCAGTGAATAATATAGAGATTTTTAACGATAAGAAAACTTAACAATACAGCACGACGGCAGAGCACGCTAGCAAGGCGGGTTGTACAGGTGTGTCGTTTCTCGTCACATTCAAACAATGCGGTCAAAGAATATGGGACTAAATTGTTAAAGGTAAATTAGTCCGGTACCTCACCACAGACTGAAATCCCAATGCAATGACGACAAGTTCATTCCACGTACTCCCACTGTCAACTCCTGCATCATCACACTTGACGCAAACACCATGAAGTCCCCGACGACGACCAGAATCACCATCGAACTCACATTTCGTGCTCGCGTTCGACGCCGTTAACCATTTCCAACTTCGCTGTCACGATCTTAGTAGTGACGACTGCATTTTCTCACATTGTTAACGTAGATTATTACCTGCACCTGACGTCACGTCAACCGCAACCGTCACCACGTCCGCATCCACCAACAGCAATGTGGACCAATTACAGCGTGTCCTCACTGTGATCGCACTTCCACTTCACACATTGACTTTGTAGGCCGCTTGCTCACACGCTCTTTCGAACCGCATGGACGTATGCGGTTTTATTTAAATCTGCGGTAAATCTTGGCACACAAATATGAATCATAATTGAAGTCCAAACCACCATATACGCCATACACAAACCCGACCGAAGTCAGCCATGTTATTTCAGCAGAAAAATGATTGTGTTATGACTTTTTATTTTCTTTTTTAGTCTGTGACTTATCACTTTTGGTCAGGTTTTCGATTCTAGGTTACCAAGTTTCTCCGTGAGTTGAAGTTATAGTTTTTTTACAAATTTAACAGCTGCAGGCCTTTAATCCGACAAATAAGTTATAACAAAAGCATATCTTGCAGAATATTTGCCCAGAACTCCAAGCTAGTAACCTTAGTTTGATATCTAAGCAATTCTTAATGGAAAATCAAGGCGCATTCCGAAGTATTCGTGTCTAGTCAAATCCTGCACTTCTCGCTTCAGGGAAACCACAAGGACGGGGGGTGTTTCGGTTGTGTTTTCTCCGCCCGTGGTCTCCCGGCTACGAAGTCCGCTAGGATTTTTTACAAAGCACTTGTAAGTTTACCCTGCCCAAACAACATAAGCTCCATTATGAAGTGGTTGGTTTTGAACCTTTTGTGTTTGCACTGTATTCTATCGTTGATTCTGCGGCCTTTTCATTCTGTAGCGAAGAAGAATCGTAGGGCCTCGTTTGTCTTGCGTCTGTACCGTAATATCAGGGCACCACCATTACTTGGGCATTTACTTGCTGTTATAATGACTCATTGTTTGTATAATTTGACTGT